TGGGGCTGGTCACAGTGACCCAAGGCCATGGAGCTGGTCACAGTGACCCAAGGCCGTGGAGCTGGTCACAGTGACCCAAGGCCGTGGAGCTGGTCACAGTGACCCAAGGCCGTGGAGCTGGTCACAGTGACCCAAGGCCGTGGAGCTGGTCACAGTGACCCAAGGTCGTGGAGCTGGTCACAGTGACCCAAGGCCGTGGAGCTGGTCACAGTGACCCAAGGCCGTGGAGCTGGTCACAGTGACCCAAGGCCGTGGAGCTGGTCACAGTGAAATCTATACTGTGAGCGACAAATTATGTCACTGTAACAATGAATGGTCAGTGAAGGTAAGTTGTTTTAAGCATTTTAATTTAATTTTTCTTATGTATATTTGTTGTGATTTTAGTATATATATATATATATATATATATATATATATTTTATATATTATATATATATATATATATAATATATATATATATATATATACGTGACTTTATATCCCCTTGCACAATCTTAACTACATACCTCCCCCTCTTCCATCTTTTCTCTTTCTACACCTCTCCTGCCTCAGTCCCAACCCCTCCCCTATCCCTTTTTTTCTTCTTTTCCTCCTCCCCTCCCCTACCTCTCCCCTCCTCCCTTCCTCCCCTCCCCTACCTCTCCCCTCCTCCCCTCCCATTCAACATTTTAATCCAGTTTAAAAACAAAATTATTTGAGCAATATTTCCTCTCTCCTCCTGTTTATATCATATTATTGTTAGTCTCGTTGTTAATGTATTGTGCAGCGCTTTGTGCTGTTTTTTACCTTTCACTGTCAATTGAATTGCATAAAAGTATTAACGTTATGTATTTTGGTGTATTACACTGCATTTGCATACTATTGCATCGCTCCCATCTGTGTCGTATTGTAGTAAAGGGAATTGCGTTGCAGTTTAATGCGTTTTGGTGCATTGCTTTCTATTGTATTGCCCTGTGTTGCAATGCATGGGATTTTGCCAGTTGGGTTGGGTTACTGGGTTTCAAGCCTGTCGTCTGTACGAGGTAACCTGCATGCCACCTGTACTCTACCACTCGGGTAAATTTTGATTTTTTTTTTTTTTTTGCTAGGGAGTAAACTTTGTGCATATAAATTAGACACTTATACAACACTTAGGTGTCTTTATTGAGGAAAGGCTTCGCCACGCACTGGTTTCATTAGTCTTGTACAAAGAAGAATGGTGAAGAACAGAAGGAGTTTGAGGTAATCAGTCTCTCAACTTGGAGTCAACTCCAGCCTGAGGGACTGGAAGGTCTGGAGTTTTAAAACTCACTAGTCGCGAGTTCAATCCCCTCCCGTACTGTGGTTTGTCTAACCTTTCCCCAAAGCTACTCAGGAATTCGCTTCGATACCCCCAGGTACTACTCACACCCAGCCATTCTTACTCATATTTCTCTAATCTCATGTTATGTACACACGTAATTTATCTGATTGTCTTGTATTCAGATACACACGTCAGGTGTCAATTATGATGCGGTGTCCTGAGTGTGGAGTTGCTGCTGAGAGAGCCGCCCTCAGCTGGGTAATGAGGCGGAGAGTGTGATGATCCTCAGCAGGATTACAACTGGTGATATTAGCCACCATGAATCGGATCTAACACCTTCCTTCCGACAGCTATTGGGAATTACGCGGTAATAAGGTTGTAACGTTGGGTTACTAGCGATTAATGTGGATTATATTTTTCTATATTTTTTTTTTACCCTTCGAGGTAGGATAAAGAGGGGAGGGGGGTCCTAGGGGGTCCTTGATGCCGGTGAGTAGTTCTTGATTCAAGGCGTTGCGGTTATAAAGAAAAAAAAAAGTTTCAGAATAAGGTTCCTTGAAGACAGTGTACCGCTTTGTTCAAAGCTTTATCACATTTCAAGCTTTACAGTGTTCTGATGAAAGCTTATTATTATTTTTACATTTTTATCTTAGTGTCGGCACTGGTGTTGGTCTCCAGGTCGCAGCCAGCACCGCAGGTAACCTTCCCGTGATAAATTAGACACATGTGCAACACTTAGGTGTCTTTATTGAGGAAAGGTTTCGCCATGCACTGACTTCATCAGTCTTGTACAAAGAAGAATGGTGAAGATCAGAAGGAGTTTGAGGTAATAAGTCCCTCAGCCTGGAGTCGATGTAATCAGTCCATCAATCTTTATTGATGAAGTGATTACATCGATTCCAGGGTAAGGGAGTGATTACCTCAAACTCCTTCTGATCTTCACCATTCTTCTCTGTATTGGACTGATGAAGTCACTGTGTGGCGAAACTTTTCCTCAATAAAGACACCTAAGTGTTGCACATGTGTCTAATTTATCATCTTGTCGGTTCTCTGAACCAGTTATCTACGTAACCTTCCCAACTTTCTTCAGATCAAATATCACTACCAACTATTCCTTAATTGCTGCATGACTCTTACAGGTTCAGCGCTTCTCCATGAATATAATAATACTTTCTCCACTTAAGAATGATTAAAAGACACTATGACATACAGGCAGTCTTTAATAAGATAACATTTCGCTTAGAGACATAACTTTTCCATAAGTACAGAGAGCACCTCGTTAATATATTCATTGGAAACGCTGTCTTATGCTTGTTTATTTCAAATACTGACCCGTCACTGACTCTCGAAGGAGTGTTGGGTGTTGAACAAGTGGTAGGTGGGGGCTGTTTAGAGCGCTATGGAGGGAGCAGCCCTGAGAGAAAATGGTTAGTATAGTGTATATAAAGTCCTGAGAGCAGGTGACTAGGACACGTGGGGTGCAACCCTGACTATGAGGTCAGACGTGTGTGTGTGTGTGTGTGTGTGTGTGTGTCTGAGAGAGAGAGAGTCAGGTGTCCCACCATCCTGGTGCTGAGTGATGGTGGTTGTGGTATGTATTAATTAAAGGTGATTCAAGACATTTTCTTATCTTCTTGTCCTCTTCAAGGATAACCATGCTCGCTCTGGATCAATCCATGTGGTGTGAAGACCGGTTACCATGTAAGAAACTGGTGTTGTTGGTGTTGTGTGTGGGACAATCACAGGTGTTCGTATACTCATGTGGAAAGCTCCCAGCTGTCTCGCATATACTTTATTGCGAGCATTTCGAGGGATTGTGTAGATAACTGTATTCTCCTCGGAAACTATATTAAACCACTTAGGCCTAGTATGTCCTCGATAGTGATGGAGGTGATGGTGGCAATGATATCTCTGGCTTTTCTCAAGTAACCTGGAAGCGTTCTCGGGTACCCTGGATATAGGGATGTTTAAAGAGCGATTACCACTGGAATCGACTATCGGAATCGCCTCTCTGCTTTCCTTTTACGATGCCGTGTGAAGGTGACAGGAAAATGTAAACTCTGGAATATCTTAGCGATTTTGAGATACACGTCATCCAGAAAATCAGGGCTCCAATAAATATGCCAAGATGCTTAAAATTTTAGAATGAAAGATTAAAATGGGATACGGGGTAATTTAATATGGTCAGATGGTAATCATTTGAAATATGTAATGTCGTATGAGTGGTGAGGAATTGTATTTATATTGGTTTGTTTTGTCATCCGTGTGTGAGGGAGGGGGTTATGTGTGTGCTTACTTATTTGTGGTGGCAGGGGTCGAGTCTTAGTTCCTGGCACTGCCTCTTCGCTAGTTGCTACAAGGTCCTCTCTCTCCCTGCTCCAAGAGTCTTATCTTATCTGTTCAAGTTTGTATGTATGCATGCGTGTGTAGATTATATATTGTATATATATATATAATATATATATATATATACCATTGACCTCTCTAAGAGAGCGGTTGTTACCCAACTTCCGTTGATACGAACGTAACAGTTTAACTTTCGTTGTTTTCATCATCCTTAAAACTAGTTATAAATGGCATGTTGATACAGTCCAGTTCTGCTGCTTATTCAGTTTTAAACAGTTTACACGTTTCCCCTTAAACTCCGTTGCTAAGTTTTACAGTTAGATGTTATTGACTTGGGCTCGAATTATAGAGCTGAAATTAAATTGTATCTTAAGATCAGTTCAAGTCTGAACTTGAGTTAATAAAGACTGAGTCAACAACACGTCTTATTTTACATCATAGTTGAATACCAACTTTGTTGTGGTTACTCACGTACATGACAAAGCTCACTTCTGGTATTACCTACTCTACCACCTTTTATTTAATTTTTTTTTTTTTGCGTTTATACACAAGTTTGGTCAAACATTTGCTGGTTTTATTCTCGTAAACCCAGGTTCGGATCTACTATGAAACTAATGAAGCTTTAAGGGCCCCTCATCCCGGAGGGGCCCCAGAAGCCAGGTTAGTCAACATTGCTTAAAAATTTTAGGGTGCCAAGAGGCCCCATAACAATTCACACTTCAGGACCCCAAAAATATAGGTTCGCCACTGCGTATACTTTCTCTTGACATTGCTTTCAAGAAAGCAAGGGCGTACATTTACTTCCTTGCAAGGAGGGAGTAAATCCGGCCAGCGGCAAGTTAAGAGACAGTGCCGAGAACTGAGACTCGAATCCTGAAACCAGAAATACACAAATACAATTGGGGTGAATACTATATATATATAATATATATTATATATATATATATATATATATATATATATTATATATATATATATATATATATATATATATATAATAGTTATTTATTTAGGTGTGGGTGAGTGGTGGTGTCCGGGTAGGAGTCGTGTCCTCCTCCCTTCAGAAATCCGTCTTCGTCTCTCACGGGATTTCTACTAGCATTCTTTCGCGAATTTTGCAATATCTGTCCTCACATTCTGAGAAGACGTTATGCAAAAATCTGTCCCGATTCCCAGCCCGTCCGTTGCATTATCCCTTACCGGTTCGTTCTCTTTCTCCCATGTCCTTTCTCCTCCATCTACCTCCCCGTTTCCATCCCATTGTACCTTCTTTATGCCTCTCTATCTCTTTCTCCATCACGACACTCTGGTTCAGAATTTCAGCGCTTAAAGAGGATTTTTCAGAAATATATATTCGAATATTCGGTATTTGTGCTGAAGGGAAAGAGAGGAAGGGCAGTGGGAGGAGAGATGAGGGTGTCCTTAGATGGACCAGGTCTTCCCCAGGATACCACCTGTACCCTTCCCCAGGATACCACCCAAACCTTCCCCAAGGCACACGACCCACACCTTTATTCCATGAGCACCACCCACACCCTTCCCCAGACACGTCACCCACACCCGCTCCTATGCACGCCACCCACACCCTCCCCCAGGAACACCACCTACACCCTCCCCCAGGAACACTACACACGCCCTCCCCCAGGCACACCACCCACACCCTCCCCCAGGCACACCACCCACACCCTCCCCCAGGA